GAGCGAACTCTGGGAGTCCGTCAGTATGGACTTCATCTTTGGCCTTCCCCGCGACCAACGCGGCAACACGGGCATTTGGGTATGCGTCGACCGGGGGTCGAAGTACCTTGTGGCAGTCGCCGTCAGGGCGAGCATCACAGCTGAGCGCTGTGCCGCGCTCTTCTTCGACAATATTTATTGTCGCTTTGGCCTCCCTACTTCCATCGTCTCCGATCGAGACCCACGTTTCACTTCCGCTTTCTGGAAGTTTTTGTTTGCCCGCATTGGCACTCGCCTCAACATGTCCTCGGCCGACCACCCCGAGACTGACGGCCAGACCGAACGCGCTAACCGCGTGGTCGAAGATGTGCTCCGCAGTTATGCTGCGTCGAAACCTCGCACATGGAGTTCCCTACTCCACCAAGTGGAATTTGCTTACAATTCCTCAGTCCACGCCTCCACGGGGTTTTCCCCGTTTTACGCAAACCATCTGCGTCACCCCCGTCTTCCCACTAACACCGGTGTGTCAACTTTGAGTGTGGGAGGAATCTCCCCTAACCTACGCACGACAGCGTCGATCCAAGAATTTCTGCGCCTCCGCAGCTCCATTATGCGCCAACTTGGCGACAATATCGCCCATGCGCAACATCAGCAAGCCCATCAGGCCAACAAGCACGGTCGCAAGAACACCAGTACGTTCTGTGTTGGAGACTTAGTCTATCTCCACAAGTCGGCGGCGCCTCTGACGGTCCTGCGCAACCCAAAGCTCCAGGTTCCCTGGATTGGCCCCTTCCCTATCAAAGAAGTCATCAGTCCAACGTCAATGAAACTCGACCTGCCAGATGACTGGCGAATACACCCGACGTTCTACGTCGGCAAAATCAAGCGCCACTTAGCCCGATTTATCGACGGCGAGGCTGCGCCGTCGGATGGGGAGCAGTGTCCAGCAGATGCTCCACGCGCACCTCCAGCTCCACGACGCGACGAGTCACGTCACAACGACGCTGAGACTCCTCACGTCACAACGACGCTGAGACTCCTCACGAACGCTCTTCGGCGTATCCCGCTGATCCTCCTGCAACTCTTGCAGGGCAAGTTCCACCTTCACGACCCGACCATGAAGGCCTCCAACAGCAGACTTTGTTGCGCAAGCAACCACCCCCGCCCGCACACGCCACTCCTCCAAGTGTTGTGGCTTCGGGTGCCGTTTCAGCGTCGCTTCAGCCCGCGACAAGCGATGCAGGACCTCTGCTCGCAGTACCCTGCGACCATTCTCTACGGCAGGACATCCTGCACGAGCTCCACGATGCCCCAAGCGGGGGCCACTTCGACCGCGATCGAACGTAGACTACCGTCGCTCGCCTCTTTTGGTGGCCGCGTTTGTATAAACACATTACTCGCTACGTCGCCTCCTGCGATGTCAATCAATCAAGGCCGTCGCGTCCACTCAGGCTCCACTCCAGAGCTTGGAAGTTCCCAGCGAACTCTGGGAGTCCGTCAGTATAGACTTCATCTTTGGCCTTATCCGCGACCAACGCGGCAACACTGGCATTTGGGTATGCGTCGACCGGGGGTCGAAGTACCTTGTGGCAGTCGCCGTCAGGGCGAGCATCACAGCTGAGC